TTTATTAAAGGTTTTTAAAAAAAAAATTTAGTTATTCGAAAAGCAAAACCTTTTTATATTAATTGGAATGAATGAAATAAAAAGCTATAAAAGTCATTCAATATATTTGATCTGTTTTATTACAAAATTTAACGTAAAACGGACATATACATATATAAAATATAACTTTTTTTTTAATTTTTTTCTTATAAAATATTTTACAAATATTCACACACTTAATAAAAATAAATTAATTAATTATCTTAATATACGCTGATTTCTTTAATACAAAATAAATTTTGGTTTATTTAATAACTATATAAAAGTATATTTTAAAATCATGCAAGTGCGTTAAAAACAAACGTAAAACGTTCTTTGAAAGAAATGCAAAAATATATAAATAATCAATTTTACTTTTTATTTAATATAAGTTATTATTTTAAAAATAAATCTATAAAGGCAGTGGGGGAACTTCAAATTTTGCTCCCCTCCCCCACCGCAAAATACCTTTTAGGCCCCCACCACAAAAAGGAAAAAATAATTTTTATCTAAATATATCAGTTTTATCTAAATATAATATATAAATGTCAAAAAATATTGGTCCCCTACAGCTCTGTAGCTCGCCGCATTGCGGGATTTGCGGTATGGTAGTTCCGCCACTGTATAAAAGTCATTCAATATATTCAATGTTCAATTATGTTCAATAGATCAGTTTTATGTTAAAATTCAACGTAAAACGGACATATACATATATAAAATATATCTTGTGTTTTTTTCTTTTTCTTTTGATAAAAATATTCATATAATATTTAAACACTTAATAAAATAAATTAACTAACTTAATGAATAATATTTTTTTCACGTAAAAATAGTTTTTGGTTTTTGAATAAGTATATATAAGTATATTTAAAAATAAAGTGCTTTAAAAACAAACGTAAAACAGTCTTTTTCTTTATTTTGTCTTTTCTTTTTCAAATTTTTTATTTCAAGTTAGTTAACAGAAACAAAACACATTATTTCGCATTGTTTTCTTATGATAAATTTTGTATATAATTGCAAACCATAAGTTTTTTTATTCTAAAAGTAAGTAAAAAATTAATTTAATAAGTAAGTAAAAAATTAAATTAAAGCGGACATTTATAAAAATGTGAAATTATGAATAAAAAAGCAAATAAACGAAAGTTTAGGTTCTTCATAACTTAAATGTTAACACTAATAATAATAACTAGCTGGGGTGACCCGTAAAATACGGGTCTTTACCGAACCGACCATTTTTATACTTTTCTATAGCTATCCGGACGTAAACTAAGGGTCTTAGTAAATCTATTCTACACCGACCTTTTCTATACTTATTCCTTACCTCAATATTTTTTTAAAACCGTTTAAAAATGTACATATAAAAAACTATACTTACTTTTTGATATGACAAAAACATTTCTGTTAAAATGTTTTTTTAAAAACTTCAAACGATTTTAATATTATGCCAATTATAAAAATTTTAATAAGAAAAAACGTAAAAAAGACTACGAACTTAGAAAAATGCTAAAACATTCAACACGTGACGCCATTAAAGTACGCCTTAGTTAACGTTCATAACATATACACATCTAATAAGATTTTATTTAAACTCAGTTGTTGCAAACTTGGTTTTGAATTTTTAATTACACTTCTTATGCGTCATAAATAATCTTAAATTTAAATAGAAAATACGTTTATGGGCTAATTGGTAGACGCGCAACACTTAGACATTTATAGTCATCTTACCCCGGGAGTTCATACTCCAGTGACTTTTTTTTTTCATCCCAACTTACAACAAAAGTAATTAAAAATAAATGTTATCATTGAAACAGTTTTAAACATTTCTTCCTATTTATCTTTGAACTTAACTTTATTCACTGCAAACATACTTTTGGTGTTTGTAAGCGTTATTTTACGTTTAGTATTTGTAGGAATTATTTGCACGCACGTATTTTAAACAATTATTTTTACTGTTTCATCTAAAAATCTTATTTAATTTAGTTTAATAATTTCTTAAATATAATATATATAATATAATTTAAAATATTTTATTAACCCTATTTAAATAAGTATCAAAACTCTTTCCTTTAATTTAAAAAGAATTTAAAATTAACGTAGGCTATAACGATATTTTACCCTTTCATCAACATTTATTTAAAAAGTAAATTTGGATATAGAAAAACGGGTTAAAGACTTATTATTTTAAATAAGTTAGCTTTATCTATTTAATGCTTTTCGTAAAAGCGTTTCTTTAAAGACTCTTAACAAATCATTCAAGCTGTTTTTACTGCCTAAGTTATTAAACCTGTTGTGTGTGCCAAAAATCGATACTTAATGCAAATGGAAACTTCGAGTGCTAATGGTGATTAAAGCATAAATGGTTCCTATTCATATATAATAAAAGGAAATATGAAAGACAAAGCAAAAATGATTTTTATATCAATTTAAACCAATAAATCCCAAAATAAAAAAATATAGATATTTACTTAAAAACATATTTTTCTTGATATAAAATAAAAATATAACCTTTAGTACAAATTACAAAAAAAAAATTTATTCAACAGAGCTACTTATAATACAATTTAAATTGAATCATTGTTTCATAAATATTAAGCTTTAGGTAAGCCATAATCAAGTCAGCTATAAGAAACGGAACTAAAAATGGAACAAAGTTATTTAAACGCATAATCATAATCATACACATTAATTACAAATTAACATGTCATGCAATCAATACTTTTGAAAACTCAAAAATGCGAATAAGAAACTTACTTTTTTATTTTTACATAACCCTGACAGACCAACATGAATGTGAGCTAAATCTATTTGCATAAAACATCACAACAATTAATTAAATAGCAGAACCACCTCCAAAGAACAAAAAAATTAGTTTTTTAAAGAAAATTAGAGTTATTGGAAGGGGAGGTATTAATAAATAAAAAAGCTCCACTTGAATTTAAAAATTAGTTCATAGTTTTGTTGAGGGTTATTGAGTTATTCTGAGTTTATTATACATATTTTAAACTACTAACACCACACACATATATTCTTAGTTCTGGAAGGTGCTAGATAGAATTTGATTGTGTGAAAACCAAATCCCTTTGAGATTAACATTAACTTTATCAAATGTATGACCGTGACTTTTATTTCTAGTTAATGAGCATTGTTGATAAAGGTGTCTTTATTTAAATGATTTACTTTGATAACATTTAACATTCATGGGAAAAATAAAAAACAACACAAAAATAAATTTACAAAAATATATTACAAAAAAAAAAATGAAGTGGCTCAAAAGTTGTCAATTTCTTTACATTTTAATATGTAAAAAAATTATTGACAACTTTTGCGCCACGTTGTCTTCTCCTCCCAGCATCCGCTCTATTCCCCGTGTTGTATGGGGTGCCATCCCTCCATCTAAAGGAGGGATGGTCGTCCCCATACAAACACCAGCGATGGAAGGCCCTCATAGATAGAGGGCCTGGATGCTGGGAGCGATACTTTCTGAATTCTTCCCATGACTTCGAGCCTGAAAAAAAAATTATATATAAATACAACTATGTACCAAGGTAATACTTACAAAAAATCTACTGTAAAAAAACAATAAAAGCAAATAATGTAATAAATTAAGTACAAGTGAGCACAACAACTTATTTATTTTACTCACTAATACTTGACTTATTACATTAACTAATTAAACTGGAAAGCACATTTGTAGCTATATTAAAAAACAAAAGGTACAATAAAAGCAATCAATCAATGTAATAAGTCAAGTAAAGGTGAATATAACAACTTACTTGTAACAGAAGAAGCAGCAGCTAGAGATAAATAAAAGAAAATTAAAAATGCAATAAAAACAATCAATCAATGTAATAAGTTAAGTAAAAGTGACTTACTTATAACAGAAGAAGCAGCTAGAGATAAATAAAAGAAAGTTAAAAATGCAATAAAACCAATTAATCCAATTTAAGTCAAGTATAAGTGAATAGAACAACTTACTTGTAACAGAAGAAGCAGCAGCTAGAGATAAATAAAAGAAAGTTAAAAATGCAACAAAACCAATTAATCCATAAATTAAGTCAAGTATAAGTGAATAGAACAACTTACTTGTAACAGAAGAAGCAGCAGCTAGAGATAAATAAAAGAAAATTAAAAATGCAATAAAACCAATTAATCCATAAATTAAGTCAAGTATAAGTAAATAGAACAACTTACTTGTAACAGAAGAAGCAGCAGCTAGAGATAAATAAAAGAAAGTTAAAAATGCAATAAAACCAATTAATCCAATTTAAGTCAAGTATAAGTGAATAGAACAACTTACTTGTAACAGAAGAAGCAGCAGCTAGAGATAAATAAAAGAAAATTAAAAATGCAATAAAACCAATTAATCCATAAATTAAGTCAAGTATAAGTGAATAGAACAACTTACTTGTAACAGAAGAAGCAGCAGCTAGAGATAAATAAAAGAAAGTTAAAAATGCAATAAAACCAATTAATCCATAAATTAAGTCAAGTATAAGTGAATAGAACAACTTACTTGTAACAGAAGAAGCAGCAGCTAGAGATAAATAAAAGAAAATTAAAAATGCAATAAAACCAATTAATCCATAAATTAAGTCAAGTATAAGTGAATAGAACAACTTACTTGTAACAGAAGAAGCAGCAGCTAGAGATAAATAAAAGAAAGTTAAAAATGCAATAAAACCAATTAATCCATAAATTAAGTCAAGTATAAGTGAATAGAACAACTTACTTGTAACAGAAGAAGCAGCATAAAATCTTTAAAGGCATTCCAAAGATTTAATGGATCATCAGGTTCACAGAAAGTCAAAATAATGGAAAACAACTGTCTAATTTGATTTGGCAACCGAGTTGCAGCAGCCTCAGTTAATGTATTTCTCCATTCAGCGTCGTCTTGTAACAGACCTAATTGAGAACATGCTTCTCGGAATGTATTAAAAACTGTACCATTAACAGTACGCAAATCTTCAAAAGAAACTGCACCTCTAACATGCAAAAGTAACATTCTAAGATAAAATATTTCACCTATTGGACTCACTTTATACATCCTAACAATCACCTTATTGCTACCTCTTTGCCTAACTTTCCATTTACAATGTTTGCTATCAAAAACAAAGTGGTAAGGAATTTCAACATATGGATAGTGTCGGGCTTGTTCATTTTCAACATTTAATTTAAACCATGCAGTTAGGTGAGTGTCACGCTGTGCTGCACGGTCTAAAGCTGCCTGTTCTTCGCCTTCTACAAAATATATCATCTGATTATCTGGCAGATGAACCTGAAGTCGAATGATGTTATGTGACATATCACTTAAAGAATACTCAAATATTCGCCACAATGCTTCTGGAGCTGAAACATAGCGACAATTTAAAAACGTGTTTATTTCATCATGGTTAACTTGCTCATTTATCACCACATTGGCACAGTCATGCCCTTTGTAAATGTACTTATATAAATACTTAACTGACTTTATGGTCATGCAGGCTTCAACATTTATGTGTGCTTGATATTTTTTAGAAAGCCATGGGTTATAAGGTACAACCCAACGGTTGTCAACTTGATTACCTTTTATATTTACAATTCTTCCATTATCGACGCGCCTATAGCGTGGATAACCATTAAAAATTGCAACAGTGTGGGGATTAAATTCCTTAGGAAATTTTTTTGTGCATTTACCATCTTTCATGCAGGGAGAATTGGGATTTAAAATTCCACATGGTCCATGTATCATGCATGATTTTATAATTTCAAAAAGTTCAGGATCAACAGCTGGGTCTGGGATTTCTGCTGATATCAAACTATCAATATCTTCTGCTGTTTCTAGCTTATCAGCATTTACAAAGTGCAATAAAATATGTACATGTGGCAAACCACGCTTTTGAAACTCAATAACCTGCACATGACTTACAACTTTGCCTAAGACTCCATGCTTAAAAATATCCTCTAAGAAAAATTTAAGTTTCATTTTAAATACCCAACAAACTAAATCAGGTCTGTCATTAGCAGTTTGGCCTGGGTTTAAATTTTCTACTATTTCTCTCCATTTTGGATTGCAGGTAAAAGTAATGAATAGATCTGGTTTACCATATTTCTTTATGACTGCCATCGCATCTTCAAAGTTTTCTTTTAATGCTCTTGGACTACCAACATATGAAGAAGGCAATATAACAACACGGCCTGGTCTTACATTAAGATCATTAGCACGATTAATTACATGTTCATGCAATGCATCATATTGCTCACTTCTAAGTTTGTTTTGGTTATTTCTAATAAAAGCAAGGCGCTGTCCCTCAACTTTGACATATGCATCAACAACATATTGCTGAAAAAGTTTCTTACCATAGAATATAGGACTAAAAGTTTGTCTAACAGCAAGCCTATAATTATAATACTGAGACAAAGTAACATGGTTTCTAACACGGGTTGCACGGTCAGGGTTGTGCTCTAGTTGATTGTGCCATCCAGCATCACCTCTCGGGAAGAATATTGGATATACCAAAGGATCCAAATTTGCAGACATAGACGAAATTGTTCTTAAAGGCTGACCTCGAGGGTATATAACAATTTCCCTGGATGCAGGTGGAGCACCATCATCTCCCACAAACACAAACGCAACTTCCTCATGGGAAGGAAGATTGTATCGACGTCTATCATGACCTTCAAGCAAAGACATTCTTACAACAGAGGTTGGTCTACCTTCTAAAGCTGCTTGGCGGATTTCTTCATCCTCTACTTCTGCCATGTTTTTAAATGCAAGAGCAAATGGGTTTTCTTGATTAATTAATGTTTGCAAGAGTTGCATTAACTCATGTATACAACCATCATTACCAGGTTGTTCCATTCTGAATGACACTGCTGCATTAGGATCATAGATATACAGCTGACAATATTTGGGCAGACAACCTTCTGCAGGCCTTAAATTTCCAACACGATGCAAAATTTGCCCACAGACCCTAAAACAGAAAGGGCCATTATTTGAGGGAGGAGCTATTTCGGCAGTGAAGGAAGCAAAAGATAAAGAGGAATTATAACTCCTTATGTGTTTAAAAAAATTTTGATTTACAGCATGATCAAAATGGTTTCCTGTCATTAAACCAGTCAACAATGGCGGATAAAGAGAAAGAGGAGCTAATGCAACTTTTCCTGAATGGCAGCACAAAAAATGAGTTTCATTTAAAAACTTCTTTGCACTGCAATACTGACAATTATGGTTTAATTCTCCGAGGTAGTTACTCTCTATAGCAATATTATTTCTTGCTATGCGATGCATATTATACCTATTAAGTTCTCGCCTAGCCTGATTTCTTTCATTTTGATTACAATTTATTTCAGCTCGCCGGGGCTCATCTCTTTCAATTCGACGACGATTTATCTCAGCTCGCCGGGGCTCATCTCTTTCCATTCGACGACGATTTATCTCAGCTCGCCTGGGCTCATCTCTTTCATTTCGACGGCGGTTTATCTCAGCTCGCCTAGCCTGCCTTCTTTCATTTTGACGAAGTCTAATAATTTCATTTCTTAAATTATTAGACATAATTAGGCATCAAAGGAGTGTGTAAAAATGATGCCTAATATAATAAAAGTTGAAGTTTCTTTTTTAAACTTATCTAAAATAAAGTGTAAGCAAATAATTCAGAGCATAATACTATAATCTATTATATTCTACCATATATAGCATTGTGTTAAGATAACATAGTTTTATTAAAAACTTAAACTAAAGTTATAAATTAATGTAATATTTTCAACTAAGTATTGTTTATATATTTATGGTAGTTGTTATCAATTATTGACAAAATATTATAAGTATTTAATCAAAAAAAACAAAAAAAAACAAATGTAATTTAAAAAACAAATTTTTTACATATAAGAACTCATAAATAAAGCAAATTAAAAAAATTTAAGGCCTGTCAACTCAGCAGGTACTGCTAGCATGGAAGGATAAAATGTAATCATCCATCAACAAAACCCTTTCATTACTTTGAAAGGCATTTAACGCAAGATTTGCAATAAATAAATACAAAACTACTAAAAGAATCTCTATAAACAATCATATATTTGCTTCAAGTGAAGAAACTTGGAAATATTGAAACTTCTTTTACTATTTTATTTTTTTTTTAGATATTTAATATTATAAAGAAAAAGGGACAATAATTTAAGGCAAAAAAATTAAAATGTCTATACATATAATATATGTATAGACATTTTAATTCTATATATTTTATTGTGTGTGTGTGTGTCTATATATATATATATATATATATATATATATATATATATATATATATATATATATATATATATATATATATATATATATATATATATATATATACATATATATATATATATATATATATATATATATATATATTGATGTACATACAAAACATTAAAATAATAATATAAAGAAAACATTCTCTATACAAAAAATCCTAAAAATTTAACAAAAGTTACTAAAACTTATGCTTCAACACGCTGTATACTTACTTTTATATATATAAAAAAAATTTGAGTTAAACATATTTAATGAAGAAAATCGAAACTCTTAAAAATTTTAATGAGGAGGAGCTGTTAGTAAAGCCTGCTTTTTAACAAAATTTATTTATTGTCAAAAGCATACATTGTTAAGAACAGAGGATAACATTATTAAAACACATTTTTTAAACAATATTTTTTCAACACATTTTAGAAATACACTAATTACAAACAGAATTAATTTATGTGTTTTATTATGACAATACACCACTCTGCTGGCGAGGACAATATTTTTGCTCTCAACAAAGCCAGGTCACGTTATAGCAAAGTACACCACTTGGCTAGCGAGGTCAACAATCTTGCTTTAAACTAAGTCCAGTCACAACAATTTGAAACCATGCAAACAACATAATTATCACTTACAAACTATAAACATATTACATGTAACACACCACAAACATTGAAACATTTCATATATTTACACACTTACAAAATATAAACCCATATAACCTTAACACATATATACACAATAAAACACAATATAAATAACACACATATATAGATAAATATATAAATTAAGAAAAATATATAAATTTGAAACTTTACAAATACAACCTTATTTTTGTTTTTTGAAATACCTCGTAATAAATGTTTAACAACTTTCAAAAACAAACTATCAAACAATCTGGTTTTTTATACGGATTTTTATAACTTCTTTTAAATAAGGTATTAAACGATCTTGTTCTTTAACATGTAACATTGAGTTGACCGTGTGAGATGCAAGTGTTTTAAACACTAACTTTATCAAGAGTTTGACCTCTTGACCTTTGAAATGAGCAACGTCTTCTTGAGTCGTCTTTTAATTTAAAAATTAGAGATTAATTTTATAAATTAATAAATTTAAATACAGTTGACAAAAGACTAAAATGCATGATTTAAATAAATCACCTGACTTTAAAAGTTACTTTACTAATTCAATAATAACATAATGTTCATCCTTTACTACAGAAGTTATCAAATAAAAATTGTTGATCTTATCACTAATTAAGCTGATGAAACAAACTTTTTGATCTCATTACTGATTAAGCAGATACTGACAGATTATTAAGATTTGAAAGAGCCCCATTAGGCGAGTTCAGAAGTAAAGCAATTTATGATAAAACTCAAAGGCCAAGTATGGTAAAAAAATCCGTGTAAAGGTGCACGAATGGTGAGCAGCAGCGTTAAGTTAAGTATTAATTATAAGCGATAATAACAATATTAACTAGTTTGCAAACTAATAAGTTTTCAAGTCGAAAATGCGTTTTAGAGAAAAAGTGAAAACTGTTCCGTTTTCTATGATCAAAATTGATTGTATATGTTGTATAAGATATACACTTTATAAAATATTGGATTATTGTTTTATATAAGGTACCACTAAACTTATATAGCAAATAAATATTATTTGTTAACAATTATAACTCAAATAAAAAAGAAAAAGTTTCAAACAAACTATGAAAAACCAGACTTTTATAAATGTCTGTTTAAGGACAAATTTTTACTACTAGGAGATATACACTGATAAAAAAAGAAAGCGAAAAATTTGAAGAGATCCATCAACCAATCGCACTTTTTTTATTTATATTTACTTTATAAACAATTTTAAAGCAACAGCCTAATTTTTAATAACTTAAACCCTAACCTAAACTTAAAGTAACTTTGCTAAAATTTAATCGCAAAACGCAAAGCGGACAGCAAATTGTCTGCTTTACGCAACGGTCCGTTTTAGGGTGGATTTTTTATACATATATGTTCGCTTTAAGCTGATTTACAAACATATATATATGTATATATATGTATATATTTATGTATATATATATATATAAATATATATATATATATATATATATATATATATATATATATATATATATATATATATATATATATATATATATATATATATATATATATATATATATATTTATATTAATTTATATATATATATGTATATATATATATATATATGTATATATATTTATACAGGGGCGGATCCAGAGGGGTTCAAAGGGTGCTCCAGCACTTTTAACAAGTAAAGTTTCCTATTTCGTTGCATTTTTTTATAAATAAAAATTGAATTGTTAAAATAGTTTATTTAACTCAAAAGTTGCGATTTTATTTTTTGTTAAGGAAGTCAAAAATAAATAAATAATTATCGTTGTTGTGTAGTACTTTGCTTTTAGCGCTAGTGTATTTTATATTTATTTATGCTTCGACTAAGAAACTCCCGTATAGTCGCTTTTTGATTCGCCTGCTCCCCTCAGAATTATTGATTAAATTTTGATTGACCTGCAGCCCTCAGAAGCTATTTTTGATTGGCTTGGTTTCAGAAGCTAATCAAAACAGGTTCTGAGGGGTGCTGACCCAATCAGAAAGATCTCTGAAGGGTGCAAGTTAATTACACAATAATCAGAAAAAAAGTTTTTCACTAATCAAACAAACTATCTTTAAATATTACTAAAACAAAATACACTTTATTCCATCGCCTACATAAAAAATCAGATATTCCCTTAGAACTCCCAGACCTTTTTATTGACAATCAATTAATAAAGAGAGAGCAATCAATAAAGTTTTTAGGCGTGTTTCTAGACGAAAATGTAACCTGGAGGGAACACATAGGTGTAGTTGAAGATAAATTATCAAAAAATTTAGGAATAATGTACACAGCAAAGCAATTATTACATCGATCTTGTTTAAAAAACATTTACTTTTCTTTTATTCATTGCTACTTAAGTTATGCGAACATTGCTTGGTGTAGCACTAACGCGACAAAAATAAAAAAATTGCTTAGCAAACAAAAACAGGCTATAAGGATAATTTCAAACGTAGATCGTTTTTCACACACACAAATACTTTTTAATGAACTCAATATTCTAAATGTATATAAACTAAACCTCTATTAAGTTCTTATTTTTATGTTCAAACTTGATAAAAATATATTACCAATCTTATTTTATTCAATTTTTGAAAAAATAAATCACATATACCCTACAAGATTTTCAAAATACAACTACATTCAATCCAAAACTTATTATTCCGCTACTAAATTCTCTATTGTAAACCGAGGACCAAAGTTGTGGAACATAATATTAAATAATGAAATGAAAACTAATTATTCTCTAAACCAATTCAAAACAAAACTTAAGCAATTACTTTTGTTAACTGAAAATGAATTAAACTTTTTCTAATAAAACTTCTTTATATTAGAAATCAATAATTAAGAGTTAATTAATTAATTACTTTAGATTATTAATACATAATTAATCAACAATTGTACATATGTTTTTATTATTTTAAATGATAATCTTCTTTTTGAGAAATTTATTTTTTATTTTTGCGTTATTTATTAATCTTTTACTTTTATTTTATACTGTTTATTTGCTTTTACTTAATTGGCAATGAAAAGTATTATATATATAATTAAATAAGTTAAACTATAAAATGCTCTACCAATAAATTGTTTTTATATAAAATCATATCTTCTTATTTTTCAAAACAAGTCTTAAATGTTATTTTTGTCATTTTAATATTTTATTAAAATTGTTTCTTTTAATTTACAAAACAATTGTTAAATCTTATTCTTTGTAAAACTATAAATTTTAAACGATATGCGATATATTTAAATTTTCTTTTATAATATAAATCAGAGATATATACATTGAAACTATATTTTATTGTGAAACTATATTTTGTCTAGTAATGACGCATTTTTTGGGGCTTAATGATAAGACTAAATTTGTCTTCTTCTAGCCCCGGTCATGTTATTATTTTTTTTATAAGTTACGACTGTAAATTTTTTTTTATCGGCAAAAGTGTAAATAAATAAAAAAGAACTAAGCTTTTTGTTAACTCGCAGGTTAAGTGTTCTAAACATGGCGGAATCAATGCTTCAAATCATTTTAAAATGTATTTTAGATAAAAGTAGGGTTCAATCAGAAAAGGAATCGTTTTTATCTAATGTTATTGTTGAAGCTCATAATAAGATTAGAGAAATATTTTTGTTTAATGAAAAATCTAAAGTAAGTATATTGAATAAAATATGCAAGGTTTTAAGTATGCAGTTTTCCGTATCTCAACCATTTCGAGCAGAAAGTGATTTTCAACCAGTGAGGTAACAATTTGTTTCTTAAATAATTATATTAAATTAAAAATAAAAAAAACAAACGAAGTATTTATGTATGTGTGTGTGTTGTGTTGATTAATGGTTAAAATAATAGCAAATTAAGAAATGATGTATAGGCGGCTATACACGATTTCTTAATTTGCTATTATTTTAACCAATAATCAACACAACACACACACATATATATCATGTATATATATATCACATATATCATTTATAGGCTAGCCTATACATGATTTCTTAATTTGCTATTATTTTAACCATTAATCAACACAACACACACACATTTTGTGTAGCCTAAACACACACACATATTGTGTAGCCTATAGTGTAGGCTATACAAAAGCTGTACTATAACTTTTTGTGCCTTTACATTTTACTTCAAACTTTTTTATTTAAGCTAAAAGATGTGTAAAATTTTGGTCTAGGTGCTTAAATATTAAAAACTTTTTTTTTAGAAAATTGGGTTCATGCTTAAGCAAAAAAGTATATAATATATTTATATCATATTTCAAGGAGAAAATAATCAGTTATGTTATAATTTATTTTATGTTTGAATAATACAAGAATTACATTTAGTAAATCATTTACTAGTAAGTTATTTTTTGATATAAAATTATGTAATAATTTTTTGTGACACAACATAAACTATGTTGCTTCGGTTATATTATTATTATTTTTTTATTAGAACTTCTCCAAATCGAAACTGTTTATTTAATGCTTGTTCTATATCATTAATTGGCAACAAATCTTTGTCAGAATACCTAAGATACCTGACCAGTATCGAATTATATACAAATGTAGGTTTTTATTCAAACCATCTAAATATTTTTTCTCAAAACTGATGTTACCAAATCTCAAAGAATTGATGAAAACACAGCTTTTTTAATTATTATTTTCCAAAAAGCTTATAATTCTTTTTATAAAAATGATAGAACACTAAGTATCATATCAGAATCTATCAATATTGCAACAAATTATTCTTATTCTTTGTTTATAGTTTTCATTTTGAGTCCAATAAATCAGGTCGTTCCATTCAATTCTCTTTGCTCTCATTATACTCTTGGCTTGCATATTCAGAAGTTAAAAAAGGTGCTCATTGTGATAATTGTGTTATTTTTGGATCTGAATAATCAAGTCATAATGCAAGAAAACTTGCTCACCTTTATAAATCTCCATTTGTAGCATATTCAAAGGCCATTAAAAAGTTTAATAAACATGCTGAAATTTCATCAATTCACCAAACTGCAACTCTAAAGGCAACTCATTTTCGCCAATGTATGGAGCAAAAGATAAATTTTATTGACTTAAATCTCAACAAAGTAATTGATGTACAAATCGAGAAAAATAGAGAAATATTAAAACCAATAGTTCTGGCAATTGTTATGTGTGGAAAACAAAACATCCCTCTCCGAGTTCACAGAGTTGATTCATTTTACTATGAGAATGAAAATAGTAACTCTGGCAATCTTCAATCAATTTTGAAATTAATATTTGATTGTGCAGAGAACAGTTTGGTGAATCGGCGAATAGCTACTCCAAAAAATGCTACATATCGTTCTAAAACTACTCAAAATGAGTTAATTAATATTTGTAATGACATTATAGTTTCTAAACTGAAATGTAGAGTTAAAAAAGCTAAATTTTTTTCAATATTAGCAGAAGAAGCATCTGATGTTAGCAATATGGAACAAATGCCACTTGTATTACGCTTTGTAAATGATAATTGTGGAATTTGTGAACTATTTTTTGGCTTTATTCCTTGCAACTCAGGTTTGTCTGGAGAAGCTATAGCCAGCCAAATTTTGAATAGTATTAAAGATTTGGGATTAGAAATGAAATTTTGTGTTGGTCAAGGTTATGACGGTGCTGGTAACATGGCTGGGATTTGTTCCGGTGCTGCAGTAAGAAAAAAACTATTTATCCAAAAGCATTGTATGTTCATTGTGGATCTCATGTCCTCAATTTTTGTGTTGCAAATGCCGTAACATACAAATAGTTAGCAATATGATGTCAAATGTTCGTGTTTTATCTCAGTTCTTTAGTTTTAGTCCAAAGCGTTTCGATGTTCTGAAAAAAAAAATTGATAAAATGTTTCCAAAAGCTCATCACTCTCGTCTAATAGATGTATGTTGTACAAGATGGATTGTTAGAATTGTTGGTTTAGATGTGTTTATAGAGGTAGTTCCTGCTATATTAAAATGCTTTGAGCTAATGATTATTAACAATGAAAAGTCTTGGAATCATGACTCAGTGCGTGATGCAAATAGTTATTTCTTTGCTACTAGATCTTTCCAGTTTCTTGTTACTTTAGTAGTGGTGTCTCGCTGTTAGGAAGTAACAAGACCAATTACAAAACAATTTCAATCTTCAAACTTTGATGTTTTTGCATCGCATGAAAAAGTAAATTTGTTTTATCTTGCTTTACAACGACTAAGATCAGACATTGAACATAGTCATGGTGCTTGGTATAGTGAGGCGGTTGTATTGGCACCTAGTGTTTGTGTTTATGAGTAAAGCCTCGTACAATAGGAAAACAGCCTAATCGAAATAATTGTCCTTGTGAATCTATTAATGAGTATTACAAGAATGTTATTACAATTCCTTTTCTTGACCATTTATTATCCCAGATTCAATTACATTTTTCTAATAGAAACATTGCTGTTCATAATAGATTTTTTGCAATGCCAACTAACGTTTTAAATGTTGCTGAATGGAGAAGCAACTTTTTTTTTTTTTTTAAATAAGTACGAGGATGAACTTCCGGAACCACGGTATATCATGACCGAATTGAACATGTGGGAAGATTATTGACGTAGTTTTAAAAATTCCCGTTCAACTACTCTAACCAAACTCCTTCCTCTTATTGATAGAATAACATTTCCTAATATATTTACCTTAATTCAAATTCTTGCAACGATTCCAGTAACAACATGCACTTGCGAAAAATCAATCTCTGTTATTCGTCGTTTAAAAACCTATCTACTTGGCACAATATCACAGAATAGATTTAATAGTCTTGCGTTAATGCACGTTTACCAAGATATCAGCATTGATGTAAATGAAGTGATTGATTGTTTTGCTAGGAAAAATTAATGTAGAATGAAACTTGTAGATATTTTAAATTCTGATCCAGTTTAAACTGTTTTACTTAATAATATATTATAAGTATATTATTCAATGTTTTATATATTTTATAGAGTAATTTAAATAGTTGTCCTAGAAAGTTCTGCAGTTTTTTTTTTGTATTTTTTAAGCATAAAATTATACTTTAAAAAACATATACAGTAGAATCTTGTTAAGTTTGATTCTCAAGGGGAATAGATAAATAGTAAGACTTGGCAAATGTCAGAATTGGCTCTCAGTATGTATAGTTATCAGACATAAGCTAGGGTAGCTCTCGGTATGTATAGTTATCAGACATAATTATAAAGTCTTCATTATTAATAAATTAGCATTATTGATAGTTATAATTATAGTTTAACTATAATTTAAATTAAATTTTAACTAGATTTATAAACAAGTCTGTTATTACATTTTTATTTATATTTTTGGGGAATATCCTTGGAAAATAAATGGCTCCAGAATATCATGAAACTCAGAATATTTATTTTATTACTGTTACATAATTTTGTTTATAAACATCACAAACAGTGTTATATAATGTTATTAAATCTATTCACTATTATCGATGTATTTAGTGTAAAAGTTTATTATTATTGTTATTATTGGTATTACAATTTATAAATAATTATTGTGTATAACTATATATTTTAAGTATATTATGTGCATAAATTTACTATATCATATTACTAATAATTATTTTTAATAGTGGGTTGTAATACAATTGTGTTATAATTGCAATATAATGTGCATGACACATGTGTTTTTAGAAGTTAAACTAGATGGTTACTTTATATATTTTCAAGTTTCTGTTTAAAGATCGAATAAGAAGCAAATTTTGAGTTCCATTGAAACAAGATATTTATTAAAAGTTTTTTTTATCAGTTCTACATTTTGTAACTATTTCAATGTTTATTTTAGTTTCCCTACTGTTGAAATATGGTTTTAATTTAAAAAAGTTTCATAATTTGAAATTTACTTTATTGGTCATAAGCTAACAGTTTAGAAAAAAAAAAATTTAGAACAGTTAGGGTAAAAAATTTGTTTACTTTTAACATTTCAAAACTGGGTTTTACTGTTCAATTGTTATGCTATTCCTTGTTTATGTTGTTTGTCATACAAATAATAAATAAATTGTGCTTTCATGTTTGGGGTCATAAAATTATTGTATCATTGTTGATTGATTCATGGTATAACGGTCGATTACTGAAAATGTATAGTTGGTGCATTACTTTGCATACAAAATATTATTATGGATATAAAATGATATGTTTATAAGAATTGTAGCCTTTCTAATTACAATTATTACACAATATTACTTTCGCACTGTACTCTCGCCTGCCGAATAAACGGGGGGGGGGGAGGTAGGGGAAGGGGGTTTGTTCTAACAATTAGGAGGGTCAGAAATTTTTCTAAAATCTAATAAACGTGTGGGGGGGGGGGTTGTTCTTAACAAACCGAAGGATCAGAGTTTTAAAAAACTTAAAATAGTTTTTTTGGTTAGTTGTTCATATTTTCATCTAATATTGAGAGAAATATTTTTCTCAAAGTAAAAAAATAGCAAAAATATTTTAAATTGTTTCAAAATTATTATTAGGGGGAGGGGGTAGTCCTAATTAGCTCCGGGGGTTGGGAAAAAATTAAAAAAAGTCTTTTCCCGTTTATTCGGCAGGCGAGAGTAATTGTTTTTGTTATCATTTTTATTAGTGGTAACCCTCTTATTGAATTGTTATTGATATAAAAGTTGATTACTGCTAAAAAAAATAAAGTCGCTGCATTATTTTGCATACAAAGTATTATTATGAATATAAAATTGATATGTTTATAAGAATTGTAGCCTTTCTGATCTGATTATTTAATCAAAATACGGGCAATTTAAAGAGCATAAAAAGACGGGCAGACAGGTAAAAGACCCAGTGGGATATAGCCTTTTCATTTGTTAAAAAAAGAAGGTTAAAATTTTTAAAAAAAGTTCATGAAAAATTAGTCAAACTACGTACGTATTCGATGCCTTGAACGCTTCGCAAACAAACTTGTACGCTTTTGGATAACTTCACTTCCCCGTACTTTATAAAAAGTTTTTTTACGACCACCCCCTTTCATACAACGCAAAGCGCCGGAGGCGGGGAAGGGACTAATGAAAACCAGCACCCTTTAAAAAAAAAAGATCCGCCCCCGATATATATATATATATATATATATATATATATATATATATATATATATATATATATATATATATATATATATATATATATATATATATATATATATATATATATATACATATATATATATGTATATATATATATATATATATATATATATATATATATATATTTATTTATTTATTTATTTATTTATACAATATATACATAAATATG